CCCCAAAACCCCAAAACCCCAAAACCCCAAAACCCCAATTGTGTGCTAACATATTGTATAATCAAAGTGGGTGATCAATTATATAATTAAATTAGATAAATGGACAGAGGCAATAGGAAGACCAAAGATAATAAGAGAGCGAGGTAAGCACTAATCATACTTTTTAGTAGAAGAAACCTTTTATTTTTGTAACAGAAGTAAACCCTTCACGTTTTACAAGACTTAGTAAACTTTTAAAAAATTAACAAAAATATGAGTTAGCAAAGATTCGCAGTATTTTTAGCTAAACCTCAATTTACTCCTCAAACTTCTAATGAGGCACCCTAAGTTATCTTACTTATATCCAACTTATTCAGCAAGATAGCTGGGTTTAAATCAAATTTAGTTCAAAATTTTAGAAAATTGCTTTCGATGGCTTCTTTTGAAGAGTGTTTGAGACTCCTTTATATCACTTAAAAGATAGCCATCCTCATTTACAGGAAAGGTTGTGCTTTTTCATTAAAAAATAAAGGGAGAGCTATCCCTCCACTTTCTTGTTCAACTTAATAATATTCTCTCTATTTTTGAAGGGAGGACTCTAATATTTTGCTATTTTTTTACACAAAGTTTTCCAGTAAATTATTTGTCAAGAAATTATGAGCAAATGAAAATTTAGTATAATTTTGCTATACAAACCTCCTCTATGCCAATCCGCAAAGGGATGAATAAATTTCTGACAGAAACCTCATGTTTCATTCTGATGAGAAAATAGTCGATTCCTCAAACCTCCTTTTAATAACATAATTTTCGTATAGCAAAGAAAAAACACCAAAAGGCAGCAAGAAACAGAAAGTTAAAGAATCTCAAGAACGCTCAATGGCACCACAAGAGGAGGAAAAACATCCCCAAAGAAATATGGAGGAAGAAAAAGAGCCTAAGCAACAGAACCAAGAGATAAGTAAGCCGTTATAAATTCACCCAATTTATCAATAATTGTGAAGATTTCTACGTGAATTTTTTACTAATTATATTACCAAATTCACTTTTAATTTCTGAAGATTTCTGATTACCTTAATTATTTAGCCAATATCTCACATTTCGAGATACCTTCATCAAACACTAGAGCTCAGCAAGATCAAATTAAATAAAATGGAAATGCCAGACTTCACCGAAGATCATGCAGACTTCGGAACATTCGAACCAATGCTTTACCAAATGGAGCACGACGAGGACTCTGAAGGAGAAGACGGCATCCACGAAATCGAAGGTGATATGATGGAAGAAGATGATCTTGAAAATGAGAAACTTCCAGAAGAAGGACAAAGAAATATTCCTCAAGACTTTGGCAGTTTAGGAGCTCCAGGGGGAATGCAAGACTCGCATCCTCAAATACCACAAAGATTTAGGGCAATCCAAATGTCAAGGTAAGCTTTATTTTATTTAGACAATAATTCTACAGAGCTATCAGAAGAATGGCAGAGAGATATTCAAGAGGTAGAGGCCGTGGGAGGAACAGAAGAGCTGATGAAAATTCAATCAAATTTGACAACTTATTCGCACAACTACAGACCCAAAATATTGACGAACTTAAAACCAATATTGCTCTTCTCAACACTGAAATCTGAATGAGTAATGAAAGCATGAAGAGAGCTATGCGGCCTGAAAGATTTGTCAAACCTTTGCTGACACATCTTGAGAATGGATTAGACTCTGCTTTAATGCTATCCTGCTCAAATTGTTTGCTCACCATTATTGACATCTTTCCAGAAGTTTCAGAAACCATTATTGCCCAGAAAGGACTCAAAATCCTAGAAGAAAAGGGAAAGAACTTCGAATACATAGATGTAGCTGAAGACTGTGTTAAGTTATTGGATAAAATTGCTGATACATGTCCTGGAGAAGTCTGGAGCACAGGCTGTGGATCTCACTTCCTTAGCTTCATGGACTTCTTTGATATGAACGTTCAGAAGATCATCATGGATCTTACTTTGAAATGAATCAGAGAATTCTGTTCCCTCAGACAATGGAATGATGAGGTCAAGCAATGTGTGTCCTTGATAATAAACAAGTGTTCGAGGCTTGGATTTGGAGATGGAGAAATGCTGATTAAAAATCTAGAATGCCTCTCGATGTTTCTCAAAAGATTGATAGATTGCAGAGAAGAAGAGTTCCACTCAGATAGTCAAAATTCTGATGGCCCTATTCTCAATTCAAGATTACTTATTGAAACTTTTAAGCTAAGAAATCCCCATCTATTTAAAAGTTCTGGAAGTAAACCAGGACCTAAAGTTCTAAAGATTTATGATGAAATTTTTGACGACCAGACTTGCATTGTCAACTTCATGGATATGCTGAAAGGTAAGTTCAGCCAATTATATTTTAGGATCCCCAGGAAAGGACAATGTTGATCTTACAGACCAGAAGGTTAAGCAATCCCAAATGATTATTTTCAATATTCTCAATAACTGCACTAGCTGCTCAACCAAGATTTGAGCCACTGTTCTCAAGAATGGCTTCCTTGATATTATCCTCCATTGGATGAGTCCTAAAAACAAAATAGCAGGAGCTTTTGAAGATAAAGTAAAAAATGACTCAGAATTTTCTGAAAACGAAGACTTCAAGCTTGGAGCTGGAGGAACTGCAACAACTGGCTACCATATGAACAAAAAGAATGCAAATGCAAAGATCAGAGATATGATTGACTCAGAAACTAAAAATAATGAAAAACAAATTCTGAACCTTCTATCAACTTTACTCTCATTAGACATTTTAAAGAAGCAAGATTTAACACCAGAGGAACAAGACTGCAAAGATGTGCTACTTAACAGAGATATTCAGTCAAAACTCGGAATATTCGGCTCAAACTACCTAAACAACTTCGTCAACCTCCAAAGCTGCTCCTCAACCCCCGTACGTCCCTTCCCTCACCTCTCTAGATAAAACCATCAAACTCCCTCAAAGAGAAGCAAAGACTGCTCGAAATCCTCAACAAAATCATAATCCTCATCCGTAAGTCTCCTTCCTCACCCTCTAGACCCCCAAGTACTCTCTGAGACCATCAACCCTCTTATAATCGCTCGGCAGCTTCGGTCCTTCCTGAACAGCTCGAACGGGTACCACCCTTCCAAAAGTAAGACACTTCTTGCTAATCTTACAGTGAGCTTCCACTCGAACTCTCTGGCTGACAGAGTTGTAGAACAGAAGTATATTTATTTGTGCATGAAGGTTATTAAGAATATACTGAAGAAGACTAAGAATAGGGATATTGATTTTTGAGTGCCTATGATTAGAGAAGGAATTTTGAAGAACATTGAAACCGTGATCGGTGAGTAGTAGGAATTGGAGAGATAGGGAGGTTAGAATGAAAAGAGAGATTTTTGGGAAATTTTGGATTTTAGTTGGAAATTTTTTAGATGGAATTGTGAGAGAGGTTGTTTAATGTTGGTTGATATTTTCTCTCCTCATTTTGGAGGGGTGATACGTTCGAATTATGTGTTTATATTTTTGTTTTGTATGTTGAAGTTTTGAAAATATAGTTTTTGGTTTTGTCATCTGGAATTGTGGAAATATAGTATATAAGTATTTTAATTTTACCTGAAAACTGTTCTAATTGATCACTCCAATTCCCCTTTGTGACATAAGGCTCTCTGGGAGTAGTAAATTAAAAAATTAGACACTTTGCTATTAGAAGCTTTCTAATTTGAATTTGATTTTTTTAAAATTCTTATCTACATCAATCTTATGTACTAATTTCTTAATATTTAATGAAGCCCTACTCAACAAAATTTAGGCCAAGGAAATAATGAAGAGGAAAAAGAAAAGTCTTCCCTGCCAAGTATTGACTACATTACTTCACAAATTTCATCCCGTCCCTCTCAAGCACCAAGTTTAATGAATGCACAAAGATTTGGAGTAAGTTCATACTCTTAATGGAGCTAACTATTTCCTATAGAATAGAAGAAATTTTGATGGAATGAGAGACCCCTTCTCTGATTTCAGTGATTCAAGAGTGAATCCTCTAGCAGCGAAACTTAAGGAATTCAATGACACTAAACTCAAGCTCAAAAAGAAGGTTCTTCCATTTATTAAGAAAGAGCTTGAAAATGCAAACTATAAAAACGAGCCATTCTTTGAACTCAAAAGAATTGCTAGATGCTTAACGAATGAACAGATCAGCTCTACGCTATGTAAAGAAGCACTTAATAGGCTCAGCCAGTTACTCATTGAGCAAGGCATGACCTATTATGAAGCTACAGAGTCGAATATAAGTAAGTAATCTATGTTACAATTCTCTAATTATTTAGTCGAAAGTTTACACAAATTTGTGATCAGAAGAGATGAATTTATGGGAAAAGAGAAGTCCCTTTGGAATAGGATCCACATCTTTATAGATGAGTTTGCTGAAAACCAAAAGGGGCTCACCCAATTAATCCAAAACTTGCATAACCTTATAAACGATGATGAGTCTATTGAAGATCTCCATGTGAGTGATAATAAGAGACACCCTTTTCTGAACTACAGCAGATGGAATGAAACACTCCAAGTAGAGATTATCTGTGAATACGAGTCATTCCAAGAACCCACAAAGAAGCCTACCCCAAATTTACCATCCTTCCTTAGCGCATTTGATCAGAGTATGTCTCAGTATGAGAACCAAGAAGGGATGAAGCCACCTCCAAAGAAGGAACAGGAGCTTGACTCAGAAGGCAAAATGAAACAAAGAGATGAAACCTTTAAGAAAATGAGACCTTTTAGAGTAATAATACCTTCTGAGTACAAAATGAAGGCTATTCTTAGAAATATTATGGCGAACCTCAAGAACGCAGACTCAAATAGACTTAACATGAGAGGAAGAGGTAATTCTGATAATAATGACAAAATAGGTCTTTCAGGAATTATTGGACGCAACCAAATTAGAACTTTAAACAATCTCTCTGATGACAGAATGCAAAACACTAGTCACCTAATCATAGAAGACCATGTCCCAGATCACCCGGACGAAGATAATGAAGGAGAAGACCACAGAGACGAGATGATGGAAGGAGAATTTGATGATGAAGATGAATCAGATTCCGAATTACATAGACCAGGTGAAGAGACTAAACAAGACTTTGTAATCAAACTTCTTCCAAACCAAGTTGAAAATGATGGAATTGACTTAAACATCTCTGTTGAAGATTGGATCAAAAGAAGAATCAAAGCATGCAAACCACCAAAGATATTGGATAAAGTTTTCAGTGAAAAGATTTTTATGCCACCAAATATACTAAAATTCACTATATCAGAAAATATTCCCAAAGATGACAAGGCTGAATCAGATGAAGAAATTATAGGTGAATCTTCAGATCTCGCTGTGGTTAATGCTAAGATTGAAAGAGGTTACTCTCTCTACATCAAGAATGATAAGTACAAGAAATCTCTCCAAGACAAAGAGCTTGAAAGGGTCATCCAACGAGATATACAATCTAATGAAAAGATCCAAGAGCAACTTGGTGACAGTTGTAAATTACTAGAACTAATGAAATTTATTTTCCTTCTGAAATCAAATAACTTTAAAGCAATACTGAAATCTCACTATGACTCTTGAATGACTAAGAACTTGCAGAGCAATTTTGCAACAAAATTTAACCTAAAAAGAGGGAAGTTCAAGTCTCTTTTTGTTAATCCAAAGATAGATTCTCTCATAAGGAAATACCTTGTCTCTAAGTTCAACTCTGATTACACTAACAGTAAAGATGATGCGCTAATTGAAATCGTACAGCACTTCCCGATGATGTACGAATTCAAGACCAGAAATATCTTCTTCAAGCTCACTGCTTTTGGTGAGATTAGGAATAAGTATTATGCTTCTGAGCTATTCACAAGAGCTAATTCCAATAATGAAGGAGGTCTTAGCCTGTCTAGAAGAAGACTTGACGTACCTAGAGATAATATCTTAAAAGATGCTTATGAGAAGCTTGAAGACTTACAGTCAGACCCATCTTTCTTAGAGTTCAGGTTTGATGAAGAAGTGGGAACTGGGCTTGGTCCAACTCTTGAATACTATGCTCTTATTGGAAAATACATCAAAGAAAATACAAAATTATGGAAAAAGACATCAGACAACTCCTTGTATCCAAAGCCGCTAGACTACAAACTTTTAAAGAATAAACAAAAGAGAAAGATAGAGCAGTTCTTCGAACTGGTAGGTACTATCATTGCAAGATCTTTAATGGATGAAAGACTTATTGATCTCCCTATTTCAGTTGTCTTCTGGAAACTTGTGTTTTCAGAAACAGCTATCCTGGATGATGTCAACAAGATTGATAAGGATTTCTACAAAGGACTAAAATTCGTGCAACAATATATTGACAGAGAAGACAAAATCAAGGCAAATGCTACAGTTCCAAGACTTGTAAAGGAAAAATACAATAAAGAATGTGAAGACCTCCAATGTGAAGGAAACCAATCTCAGTCGGAAGAAGATGAACAAGAATGATCCATAGAAAATTTATGCATGAGCTTTGTTCTCCCAGGGGAGGAAGAGATAGAACTAGTGGAGAATGGAGTTGATGTGACAGTTACAAGCAAGAATATGAGAGAATATATTAGAAGCTCACTAAACTGCCTTTTTAACGACTCAGTAAAGCTTCAAGTCAATGCTTTCAGAAGAGGAATCAATAGTGTTTTTAGAATAGATGCACTAAAATGCTTCCTTCTCGAAGAGCTAGAAGGCCTCATTGGAGGAGAAGAGAGCCATGAAAATGGATTAGAAAAATGGAACAAAACTTTATTAGAACATGTCATCCCAGACCATGGCTACAATGAAGAAAGTCCCGCCTTCACTAATTTCATCCAATATATGACACATCTAAATAAAGAACAGCTAAGAAACTTTCTATTGTTCATCACAGGATCACCTAGACTTCCTTTAGGAGGTTTAAAGAGTTTGAGGCCAAAACTCACAGTGGTGAAAAGGACTTGAGAAGAAGGATGCAACCCAGATGATTTCCTACCTTCAGTAATGACTTGCCAAAACTATGTGAAACTTCCAGAATACTCATCACTTGAAGTTCTGACAGAAAGAATGAACTATGCAATCAAAGAAGGAACGAATAGCTTTGATCTATCTTAATTCCTGTAATCTTCTTCTGAAGACATCATCCTCTTAAACACTAATTCAATATTTTTGTTATGTCCGGGGTTTTGGGGTTTTGGGGTTTTGGGGTTTTGGGGTTTTGGGG